AAACCCACCACCACCACATGTGTTGACGAGGATGTGGGGCAAAAAGGAACCCCCACACTGCTGGTTGGATGTAAGCTGGTCCAATCACTCTGGAAAAATATTTGAAGGCTTCTTAAAAATCTAAACATAGATCTGCCATATGATCCAGCAATCCCACTCCTAGGGAAACACCCAAAGGAATGTGACACAGGTTACTCCAAAAGCACCTGCACACACATAGCCATGAAAACTAATGAAACATTGATACTGTTTACAGCATGGACGGATATTGAAAACATCATACTAAGTGACAGGACACCTACTGTAAAATTGCCTTTGCATAAAATGTCTGTAGTTGACACATGAATAGAGACTATTTACTTTAAGAAATCAGTTAACATTATTTAAAATAGATGGTTGGATTATCTAGGGGACTTACTAGTCAAGGCTCTGCTACTTCCTGTGTAATCTAGAAAAGTCACTTACTCTCCCTGAGCTTTGGTTTTATTCACTGAGAAAAGAGGCATAATAATATTTGCTCTGCTTACCCCACAGGGTGGTTGTAAAGATTGACTGAAATGCTTCATAAGCTGAACAAATGCAGTATGTATAGCTGATTTTAGTGTGGGAATAATAAGTGCTATGAAGCTCTACCACTCAGTATCAGTGGAGTTTATGGTTGATGGTACCAAAAAGAAAATGAAATCCATAGCCTTTAGTCTCTAACTCCTTTAAGTTTTGAAGGAACTTCTACTGGTCCTGAAAAGAATCTTCCTAACATTTTGGGGAAAGTCTTTTTATTGACACTTCTTATAGGTTTTAACTCTAGGCACCTATGTGTATGTCAGGATATCTAAGCCAATGATGCCATCTTTATTAAAAGAGAACAGCTAAGGGCCAAGGATTAACTCAGTGGTAGATCACTTGCCTAGAATGTGCAAGGGCCTAGGATCAATCCCCAGCACAAGAAAATAAAACAGCTGTTATTGACCAGCTAATGGGCTGCTAATTCATATGAGAAAACTGTGGATATATGCAGGGAAGCCTTGGTAAGGAGCATGCCCTGTTCTAGCAGTCTGAACTGTTTCACAGGTTTCTTGGCAATTAACCAATGATACGAGGTGATGGATTCCCCTCTGCATGTGTATCGCATTGACCAGTGTGGGGTTTCTCTCTGCAGCATCATCATGAGCTCAAGGGAGAGCCTGGAGCTGCAGACATCTATGTCTCTTTAGGATCCAGCAGTATTTATTAAATAAAAATTGGCTGAAGCTGCATATCTAAGAGAGTATCAAAGAGAGGAAGACATTTATCCTCTAGGCAGTGGACGCTGCTCCTGCCTCATTGACAGGAGTCTGCCTGGCTTGGCGCCCTTCTTGCCCCACCACAAGAAATCAAGAGTTCTTGACCATGATGACAAATGAAATGTTTTGGTGCTTAGGAAAGTTACAGAAAGTTAGAAGACAGAGAAAGGATAGCTCATATGACAATAAGGAGTTTAGAAGAGAAGGTATACGTATGAAGAGGGTTGGGGTGTGGGATTTGGAGATTGTCTCAAACTGACAGGTGGCGCCTGAATAGTGTTAATTTTTAGACATTTGCAGGGTAATCATATAGAGCAGATCTTGTTTTTTCATGACATGACACTTAGGAAAAGATCACAGTTACACTTCTGACAAGAGTAATTAGATGCTGCTGCTTAAGCTGTAACACTCCTAGGTCCCACCCTGCCACCAAGGACCCAGGGGATCCACCCTTACCACACTGTAACCTACCTCTGGTTTGAGAGAAGGGCATACATGTTTTGAAATTGCTGTGTGGGACAATGACTGTACTTTAGGTAGGTAGAGCAGCAAGGTAAAAATAACAAATGAAAAGTTGAAATAAAAGAAATAATTGATTCATGGATTTGAAAATGCTGGATTTGCTGGGCGCAAGTGGCCCATGCCTGTAATCCTAGTTATTCAGGAGGAAGAGATCAGGAACATCACTGTTCAAACCCAGCCCAGGCAAGTACTTTCATGAGACCCTATCTTCAAAAACTCTTCACAAAATAAGGTTGGTGGAGTGGCTCAAGGTGAAGGCCCTGAGTTCAAGCCCAGTGCAGCAACAAAAAAAAAGGAAGGAAAAGAAAATGCTGGATTTGTAAGTGTGTGTGTGTGTATACATATTCCATCTCTTTGTATAGATTAAACTTAAATAGCTGCAGAAAATGTTCTATAAACTTACCCCGAGATGACTTTAAGTTTTAATTTCATAGCTCTTTATACTCATTTTTTGATGAATGTTCAATAAAGAATTACTCATGTTAATCATTTGAGTCAAACTTGTCATGAATTTGGGAAGCTGCAGGTTGTAGCAAAGATTTATTATGATATCATTGTAAGGGGAGACAATGGCGGTGACTCCACAAATGAGCATGGAGCACAGAACATTGAGACACAGTCAAGAGTTAGTTTTAAATTCTTGGGTTAAGCTACTTTTGATAGTCTGCTCCATTTGTGGACCTTACTGAGTGGTTTGTCTCTTCCTTGGACCATAGCTTGAATTTTTCCCACACAGGAACTGCAAGCATGAGTTTTTCTGAATTTTATCTGTCCACCCTCCCAGTCCAACCACCACATTCCATCTGTTCCTTGTATTCCTTTGTCTGCCGTATGTCCATAAAATGGAGGTCTCCACCATATTCCCCCCCCCCCACCAGAATAACAAAACTAACTGTGGTTTTAGAGGGGTGGAGATCTCATCTTCTTGTAACTTCTTCAAGCTGGATAGGGTTGTAGAGATGTCCATCTCTATGTGTTTGTTATTCTGGCAGAGGATTTTGGAGTGGTCTGTGCCAGAGTCTAATTAAATACCAAAATAAAATTGTACAGTACCCTGTCCAGGAGGATAAGAGGCACTGAAGGACCAGGTGGTAGGATCATTTTTGACTTTATTGCCTGGAGGTGAGAAGAAACAAATCTGGTTAGAAAATTAATAAAGCAAGAACCCAGGGTGAAAAGCAGTGAAATATATAGAAGTCCCAAGAAGAGGAGAAGACAGGATAACCATGTCTATGTATTTTCCAATAACAACCATCTTCTCTAAGTTGAGAAGCTTGGTGGTTAGTTTATGAATATGTTTGAACTTGTCTGGATGAATTAATCCTAAAGCAACATTATTCCCCAAGTATAACACAGGTTTCCCCTTGGGGAAGCAGTGAGCTTATCTAAAGCTTTCTTTGGAAAGGAGAGCAGCAAGGCTATGGAAAGGGTTGGGGGGGGGGGCTAGTGGGTGGGGGAGGGACTAGTTAGGCATACTCCCTTCAGGGTGGTCTCTCCCGCTGACCTCATAAATCTTTGTGACTCTCTCAAGCTTTGTGATGCAAGCCTGGGTATATAGCCAAGCCCATGCCCTGTAAGAACTCAGTTGCCTCAGGCAGCAGTGCGATTCAGAATATGGAGATTATCTCTTTTCTGAATGGTGACATTGAGGCATGGACAATTTTGTCATAAGTGCCTTAGAAATTGACCCCAAGTACACCTTTCTTGGTGCCTTGGGGCTGATACTTTTGTGCTTGTGTTATGTAACAAGATTACTGAATAATGTAGACATCCCAAAGGTAAGGAAGGATGGGTGAACCCCAACAAGGAGAGATTCTTTGTTGACATTTTTGACGTTCATTCTCACATTACTGTCTCAGAGAGACATATGACATGGGAAGTCTGAGGAGAAGACAAAGCATTCTGTTCTCAGGCTTAAGACCTGGTGTGGGGAGGGAAGTTATGGAGGACTAAGGTTTTCAAAGGAAGTCCACAAACACTCTGGTTGTGCTGGAGGGTTCTAGGTTAAAATTCTAAACAGTGATTCAGTGGCTCTAACTGGTTTAGCTACAGAGATTGGCTTTTTATGAAGGGGAATAGCTGTTCCTGACACTTGATCCCAAGTTCCATCCCTATGTCAGGTGTCTGTTCACCCAGCTTTCCTTTGCATGGGGGTAGTCAGGAGATTAATGTTTGCCTCTGAGGGCCTCTGAGCAGAGACTGAACTCTCTTCCTAGGACACAGGGTCCTCTGAGGGAGCAGCAATGTGACTGTCAGCTACAGATTCTATGCCTTCCTTGAGTAGAGGATTTCTGACTGAGAATCAAGTATGGCTCTCACAGACAAAACCCTGTTAAAGAAGGAAAATTGAAAATGCTTGGTATCACTTTTAAACGTTAATAAAAGGAAGGAACAAATTTCTATTAAAATGAAGACTCATGATTCTAAAATGATGAATGTCTGAATAAGAGAGGAACAAACAAAGTATTCATATTCTCGCATTCTTTTCTGTTTTCAGCCACAAAGAAAAATTACGAGGAGAAGGAGAGGAGCGTTTAGAGGTATGATTCTTCTGTCTGACCTTAGTTCTCCAAGGGTGACCTCCTCATGTCCCTTTCTATGAGCCCAGGTCCATTGTCTCTGAGGAAGTCAGCTGCTAGAAAGACACACATTCTCCCTAACCAAACTGAGCCTTTAGAGGAGAGGCTTACAGGAGAACAGATATTTCTCAGTCCCTATTCTTCCCGGGCATGGGCATGAGGTAGCAATGGACCTGAGCAGGGGTGCATCAATAAGTGGCCACAGGAGATGTTTAGGATGGACTACGGGATGTTTTGGAGTCAGAACTTGTGTTCCTGATATTGTGCAAAGTGCTTTCTTCCTGGGTGCTCACAATCATTTCTGAGGTAGCCACTGATTTCTCTGCTTTCTGGGGTGTTTTTCTGGGTGAGCTGGGCTTTGACTCAGGGCTTCATGCTTGAAAAGCAGGCAGTCTACATCATGGGGTGTGGCTTTCAGCTTAATATCTCATGATGGTGTGAAGATACTTTTAAGTGAAGCCACACACCCACAAACCTGCTTAATACTGTCCTTGACCACTTGGCTTTGTCTACTGATTCTTAGGACTTTCAGACTTTAATATCCTAAGTGTTTCCCATCAAGGGAGTCCTGTATGAACCTATGCCTTCCTCATTATATGTATCCCATTGTCACCAGGTCGGAGAATATGCCAGAGAGAAGAAGAAGAGGGGAGGAGGTTGCTGTCTATCCTACAAAGGTGATTAGTCCTGCCTTAGTCATGGGAGGGGTAGCCAAAGCAGCGGGCATGTGAAGGAAGGTTCTGGGGAGAGGCTATAGAGTGCTTTGTGAGGTCATAAGTGTGGGAGAATGTAATGGGTGTGGCAAGCACCCAACCCCCGCTAGGCCCTCCTTTCCCCATACCGGTCCTGACTATAACTTTGTACTTTGTTTTCTGCAGCCCCCCGGGCCAGCCTTATGATACCACCCGCTTTCGGCAACTGCTGTGCCCAGACCCCCTCTGTGAAGTGTGTAATACAGCCACGGCTAAGGTCAGTCGTCTCCTCTCTCGGGCGTCCCTGGCAGCTGCTGCTCCCTCTGTGTCACATTTGGCTTCCACAGCCTCTGTGGCTAAGTCATCATTTTCTCTGACCTCTGCTTGCTCAAAAATCTCTCCAGGACATTCAGTTCCAGCTCCTCCACCTGAACCTTGTCCACCTTCCTTTTCCACTGTCTCACTCAACCAGGACACTCCTTTGGAGGACTTACTTTCCCCCTCACCACTGGGTGACTCTCTGCCACCAGAGCCTAATTCTCCCTTGGATTCCCAATTCCCAGTGGAGCCATTCCCACCTGAGACCCTTGCACTTCCCCCTCCCCTACTGCATCATATGCAACAAACAGGACCCGTCCTCCAAAGAAGTGACACTTTGTCTCTCGTGGACAGTCCTGCTGAATTGTCCACCAATGTCACAACAACCAAAGTTGATGACAGTGCCAATATTTCTATGTCGGAATTCTCATGTCAGCAACCTCATGCTGAGAATTTGCCAACATCTGTGTTGACACAGGATAGTAACCAAGAGCTTGTTGACCTCCATTTTCCTCAAGCCTCTTTTTTGGAAGACACTACAGTCTACGTTGTAGAGTCTGAAATGCTTACATTTCTCAGCCCTGATGTCCTGACACTCTTGGAGAGACAAATTAAAAATAGGGCTGATTTCCTAATGTCAAAAGATAAGGAAAAGAAAACAAAATCATTTCAAAACAAGTTTAAGCTAGAGTACCAAATGAATCCTACAGGGAAAATCTTACAGTCAGTTACTGATCAGCAGGACTCTGCAGTCTCCCTTCCTTTTGGGAGAGGCACAGGGAAACCAGCTGACCTGAACATGTCACAGCAGCCCCCAAGTCTAAAGACCACTGAAGACCAATTTCAGAAAACATGCATGCAGCTGTTCTGGGGTCTCCCCTATCTACACAGTGAGTCCCTGAGACCTACTGTTTGTGCCTCAGGTGACTGTCCCTCATATTTTACTTGCTTCAACAGTATCTCTAAGGCTTCTACAGTCCATGATCCCACAGTCCTTATTCACCTCACAGATTCATCCTCGTTGGAGCTCCAACCTCAAGCCTTGCCTGAAACCCAGCCCCAATCTCAGTTCCAAAATCTCCCTCTTATCCAGTCCCAGGCCCAGCTTCAATCCCCACTCCCAGTCCTACCATCTTCTTCTTTATCCCAACCTAGGAGTTGTGGAGTCTGTTTTCACAGCCCCCAGAGTGAGGCACAATCTCTCACCGTATCTGAAATTCACCACCTGGAGTACCATGTGTTACAGAAACAGCAGGAAAGCATGTGGGGTTTACCCACTGTGGTCCAAAGATCCCAGGAAAGATTTTGTCCTCCAACTCCCAAACTTGCATTGGTCAGCCATTCCTCCAAGCCCTATGTTCCAATCTCCATCCTTCCTGGAGATTTTCCCCTGGACAGTGCACTCCAGGGGAAGCTAGAGCATCATCTTCGAAAGAGGTTCATGCAACACCGCTGGGGCCTGCCCCGCAGGATTTTTGAGTCTCTGTCAAAGATGAGACCTTATACAAAAATTCCTCAGACCTCTGAGTCAGAGAGCAGTCATGGACTCTCATGGATCTCATTCTATAAACATGAAAGCTGCAAAAATCTCAGTAATTATGAATTGAGCAACCTCAGAAACTTCGATGAGAAGCTCCATAAAGGCTCAGAGACACTTCCTCTAGAGAACAGAGTGGAGAAGGAACAGGGACATAGTCTAGAGATTGGTCCAAACAGTCATTTCTTGAGCCACCTACAGGGTGCTCCAGGTAACAGCCTAGGACGTGACACTAAGACAGAAGTAGAGTATCATTCTGGTGATATCTCAGGGTTCTCTGGAACCTTTGGGGTGAGCCTATGTCAGATAAAATGCAAGGATGCCCTGGAAGCACATTTAAGCAAGAAATTTGGAGAAATCAATGGGGGTCAGATCCCTGATGTTGTGCATACTTCATGGCATTCTACCAAGATGGCATTGCCTCTCCCTAAGAAATCGCTCAACCAAAAATATCAGAGTGATTTGGCACAATTGATAACCCAGGGCAAGGGCAAGGACAGCAGCCTTAACACCCCCCAGGTTGTTTCTCTCCCTAATTCCAGCAAGCATGAGATTTTGGAAGACCATATTAAAATTTTTCATGGGCGGATGACTAGTGGCCTTCCCCGGAGGGTGCAGGAATCCATTGACATGTTCAATGTAAAAAAGGACTCATCCAACTCCTTTCCTTACTGGAACTTTCCCTCCTCAGTCACTGTTACTTCCGGGTTGGGTTCTGATGTTGAGGTTTGTAAGCCTCTTAGCGGAGGCTCTAACACTTTTCATGGGGTCAAGGAGGGAAAAACCAATTCATTAGTAGATAGTCCTCCCTCTGCCACCTCACCTGTGAGTGGGGAAGGACAGAGGGCCCTGAAAGAGTCACCCTCTTATAACAAGCTTACCACCCACACAATTGAGAATGGCACACCCACAACTTTTTTACCCCACACATATAACAACATCCAGGAAGGCAGTCAGATAGAGACTGCGCTAGTCAATAGACACAGGTCTGAGCTGCCCCCAAAGCAAGCTGGGACAGGACCTGAGATAATGCGTAAGAGAATGAGCATCAGCAATGATATAGAAAAGCTTCAGAGCAAAACAAGGAATTTAGTGCAATTTCCCACGTCTAACAAGTCCAGAGAAATATTCAAAGCAAAGGAGCTCCATGAATTTCAGTCACAAGCTAGTATGGTATTGAAGACCAATGAGTCAGAGAGCTCCCCAGGCAAAGCCATGAACCCAGGTGAAGTAGCAACTACCCTGAACACTGAAACATCCTCAGTGGGAACATCAGTTTCACGTGATCCTGAGCAATCTGCATTTAAAGATCAGCTCATGAAGGAACTGAAGCTGAAACTGGAGAGCAGGAAGCAGAGCCAGGCTCAGGGCCTCCCTGCTGATGTGCCCCTGGCCTCAAATGTAAAGACTTTACTTACTCGTGACCAGCATGTCTCCAGTGGGGACAAGGCAGCTTCCCACGTGCTGCATGTGCAGTTAAACAACAAAGGGATCAGCATGCAGCCACAACAGGAGCCCTGGGTCCCTAAACATGTCTCACGCAAGTGCCAGGACAAGAACTTCCCTCCAGCTATAAAGAAACCTTGCCTCCCAGCACCCAAAAGAGGAGAGCTTGGTGGAGGGGATGCAGGGTTGGGGACTTCTCAGCCCAGACAGAAGAGCTGCCAGCCTGAAGACAGAGCATCAAAGATGACACTTGGGAGGAATTCCTCCTCAACCCTGTCACTGAAGCGACAGCCTCCTCCTGAAAACAGCTTCAGAAACCAGATGAAACACTTTTTTCAGTTGCTTTGGCCTGGAAGAAAAGGCAAAGGGCAGGGTAGTTCTCTGGGAAAGGGCAGCTCCCCATCAACATCTATGTGGGCCAAAGACCCAGGTAAAGGGAGAGCTGCCTTTGCTCAGAATACTAAAAACCAGACCATCCTGACAAATGTTGACAAAGTCAAAGAAGCGAAACTGGGGCGAAGGCATGTCGTGTCCATGGCCTGTCCCCAAGTGCCCCTTACTTCCTCTAGGAAGTCTGAGAAAGCTGAATACAAAGCAGAACCAAAGGTCCAGGCAGAGCCTATTCAGGGACGTCCCTTCAATTATAAGCCTCCCCATGGTAAAATGACAAGTGTCAAGTCCAGCGAAGAAGCTGCTTTTGCTAGCCAAATTTATCCTGTCAGCAATCCATGTGTCAAATACAGAGCAGTCCCACCCCAGACAGGTGTGGCATTACAAAGGAAGGCATCAGGTCAGAGGCATCCTGACTCCATGCCCCACAGGGAGTCCGTGCCCCAAAGACCCATCTGTAAGCGTGAAGTTGGGCAGACACCTCCAGCTGCCTCTACTTTTTCCCAAGGTACTGTTTTGGGAGACTTGTACGTATTATTTAAACAAAAAAGTCTTGTCCACAATTTCCAAAAAGAAAAATTTCTTCTTGCCAAGTAATTTACCCCTTGTTAAGACTATTGATTGCCCCTAATAAATACAGTGATAAATTGGTGTGTTTTTTTGTGTACTGTGTTGGGGACATGGATTTTTGGATAACACAGGACCTGTAGGTTTGGAAAGGAAGAAGTTAACTAACTTCTGATTGCCTGATTGCCTTTTTGCTTCTAAAATATGAATGGTGACCTGAATGTCTTATTGAAGAATGGACATTACATACTTCAAAAAGAACCCTTACTCCATGGTGACGTGTTAAGAGGTGTGTCTACTAGCTTATCCTTAGTGACATTGTATGGCAACCCATACCTTCCTCCTCATTGACCCTTTAATGTCCTTAAGAGCATTGGCAAGTTAGGTTGTCTGCATCTGAGGAGTGGGTCAAGGACAGGTAAAACATTGAGAAGAGAGTGGCAGTTAGTTGTCAGAGACCAGAGAATCACACAGGAGGGGTCACCTTGCTCGAGAATGTTTGGAGGTTTGTGGCAGGGGATTGAAGATGATTGGGAGTGGAGTGCAGGAATAGGGCAGGTGCTGCTTAAGAAGCTCTCATGTGAGGCTTGTTTCATAAGCATATTTTGACATTTCCACTAAGCTTTACCTACTGGAAAATCACATAAGGAAAGTGTTTCCTCTCCCCAGCTATTTCTTCAGGTTGCCTGTTCTGATATTTTTGCAGAGGAAAAAAACCACCCTACCACCAGTGATAGGAATGTCTGCAAGGTCGTCACCTTCCTCCCTGGGTCAAATAAAGCAGAGATAAAGAAAACATGCCATAGGGTGAGTGGGAAATTAAGAAAAAAAAATTAAGATGGTAAAAAATGACCTTGCTGTTCAAACAGAGGCTAATTGTCCCATCCTCCCCAGATTATGACCTGCTCCTTTCTTTCCTACTCTGATCCTGTCAGCCCTTCCTCAAGGCTGACCAGGGCTCTGCATAGCTTACTTGGGCTGTCCTTTCAGCACTAAATATCTGCAGAATTGTCATTAGGCATGACATCTCTCTTTTAAAAAGTCACCAAGTACCTCCTTCCATCCATGCTTGAGGAGCACATGGAGGATCTTATCCTTAATGAGCACAATTCCCATGCCCCCTTTGACCTGCATGGGCTTGGTGGAGCCAAACAGTGAGTCCTGGACAATAACTAGGGTCACAGACAGGTTAATGACCTTTCCTGAAATGTCTTTTTAGAGGGATGGTTAAACTATAGTCTTGATAGGCTGAACCACCCTTGTCAGCTATCCTTTTTAGCCTCTTCACTCAGGAAGCAATTAATATATCTTTTATTTTTAAAGGAGTTTTGGTGACAAAAATAAGGTAAGCATACATAAGAGTATGTACAGCAGTGTAACTTCCTGTGTATCCCCCAGTCAACTTTCCCAATTGTCATTTGTCACATATGGTACCTCAATTTTAATAGTAGGTAAAAGTCCAAACATCTTGCCTTCCATCTCTCAGATTTTCTGTGTGTCTTATGTTAAAGCTCTTATATTGCTTTGTTACTTTTCATATGAACATATACTTCCACAACAAATGTCCATGGAACAAGTGATTTAAAACCACTGAATGTTGTCCTTTTATAATCAATTCTGTTCTGCCATTTAGTTAACATTGAGAAGTCATTTGAATTCATCATCTACTCCTTACATTTGAGTGAATTCCTCCCCCACTCTTTACAAGAAGTAATCTTAGTAAAGGCTCTCTTTTCTAAAGTGACATTACTGCATTCAAGAAGCTGCTTTTGCTGGTTAAAATTATCCTATAAGGAATAGATGTGTCAAAGACAGGTCAGGCCCACCCTATATTGGTGTGTCATTACAAGAAAAGGTATGTCAGAGGCATCCTGAATCCATGCCCCACAGGGAGTCCAAGCTCCATCAAGGACCCATCTGCTGTGTCAATTTGATGCACAACACTCCAGCTGTTCCTAACTTTGCTGAACTGCTTTTTGAGTTTTGACTCTATTATTTAAACAGAAAGACTTCTGCAGAATTTCGAGAAAGAAAATTTTCTTTCCTCCAAATTTATCCCATTAAGATTATTGATTTGCCCCTAATAAATGTTCAGATAAAGTGGTGTCTTTTTTGTGTACTACACTGGGGACATGGTTTTTGGGTAACACAGGGTTTGTGTGTATAAAAATGAAGTTATTTGTGCTCTTTCTGATTGTCTATTTTTTGCTTCTAAAAGATGACTGGTGCCCTGGATCTATTACTGAAGAATAGACATTACATACCTCAAAGAGACAGAAACGTCACGTGGGTGGGAGTCAACAGTACACCTTACGCAGATTTATGTTCTGTAACATTTCACCCATTTTCAATCTCTCTCCTCTCACATCCATTCACTCCTGGATATTTGAGAAAACGTCATACATCATGCACTTTTCCTTGACTATTTCAACGTGCAGTAAGAAAATTCTCTTAATTATTCCCTTTATTAAAAATAACGTTGGCGTAAAACTTTTAACTAATATTTCATCCATATTCCATTTTTGTCATTTATATAGGAGTATACTCTGTGGCTTTTATTTTTATATTTACTTTAAATCCTCATTATGGGATCCAGTTTAGAATTACATATTGAATTTAGCTGTCATGTTTCTTTACTCTTTATTCTGGAAAAATTTCTTAGCATTTTTATATGACCATTTCTGAACAATGTACTCTATGTGATATACACACACACAAGACACACACCTTTTTTTTCTTGAGACAGGGTCTTGCTATGTAGCATTGGCTGGCCTCAAACTCACTATGCAGCCCAGGCTGGCCTTTAACTCATAACCCTCCTGCCTCAGCCTCCTGAGTGCTAGGATTACTGGCACGTGCCTCCATATATGGCTATTTTTATAAACCCTATCACCTGGGAATTTTTTTTTTTTTTGCAGCTTATTTTGCTCAGTCATTTAAAGTACGTTTTTACATTTGTCAGTCCAAGGGACCTCAGGGTGGTCAGGACTAGATTTTCTATGAGTAAACAATTAATCCAAAAATGCCAGAGATGCAAAACTACATGGGGTGATTTTTTTTAACACAGACAAAGGAGGCAGGCTTGAAGATTACCTCCTTTGGGGTAAAGACAAAAGAGAAGCTGTGAATGCAGAGGAAACAGGCAAAGAAGACTTTTCACTACTGGTAAACCCTCATCATATGGAAAGCAAAGGACAGGCTGTCTAGGGCTAAGGTAGATTCATCAGATCCATAGGCAAACAATTCAGGAAATGACACGGCTTAATTTCAGCTGCATATAAATAATGAAGCTATTAGGCTTTACTGGTTATCCATGTTAAGCATCTGGCTATTATGGGAAGATATAACAAATACGAACCATTAATAAATAAACATGACATTTTGGTTTAGCAAGTATGGGAGAGTATACAGTTTTAGTGATAAGAAATTGTAGGAGAAAACAGATAAACATTTCACAGAGGCAGTAAGTAGGGGTAATTGAAAACAAAAGTCATTGTTAAATATAATTAAAATTGTGCTCATTAGAGGATATATGGTGTCACTGTATGAGAAGCTTATTCCCCATATGAGATGGGTTTGGTCGTGTGGGTTTTGGCCCACCACTATTTTGTAAAACTGAAGCAGAATTTTAAAATGTTAGGAAGGAGTGAGTTTTGAAGAATGACAAAGCAGAAGGGTGAGGCACTGTATGGGTAAAGGAAGCTGGATATGAGTCATTTAAAAGATCAAGATCATTTTGAAGATGTGTGAAGTCCAGGGAAAGACTACCAAGCATTGAGAGGGTCTCAGGAATTTTCTTGGTAATGGGTGCAGTAAACATTTCACTAAAGGCAAATATATGGAACTGTGAAAAGGTGAGGTGGAGGGATCTAAAAGCACCCAGGGGAATGGACAGATGAGCTTTGCTGAGTGGTGGAGAAATCAGTTGTGATGGGCTCATACGGACTCATCTCCCATATGATGCCCCATTCCTCAGTCTCAAGAACCTTTGGTATCTGTGCTAAAGCTCTGTGATGTGGGCCTGGAACTGTGATCTAGAACATGGTCTCGGTGCCTGGTTTCTGATGATGTGGGTCACCTTCTTTGATATTACTGCAGCATGCCTGAGATCCAGTTTGACATCTTGTGTAATCCCACCCTTGACTTCCTTTTTGGGTTGGGGTTTCTCTTTCTGTCTCTCTGCTACTCAATGAGAAATCTGTGTTTCTCCACAGTGTAGAAACAGACAACAAACTGGTAAAAAAACAGAACTGCTCAGATATGACAAGGTATTATTATTAACTATAGTACTCATGCTTTTGACCAGAGGATAAAGAAGCAATCTTCAGGCTCTATAGAGATAGCCAAGCTGTACAGCAAGAAAGTTCTACATGCTGCAAGGTTTAATTTCTGCTCTTATTGATATGTTCAATATAGCAATACATGATCTCAAATTTAAATCCTAGCTTGAATTTCAAAATGAGTCACCCAGTTGGTAGAAGAGCCAGTACTAGCCAACTCTGCGCATGTAACTCCCATTCTGGTTTGTTTTCCCTGGACCCACGGCCCAACAGCTGTAATCAAAGAGATGTGCAGGCTTAAAGAGGCTGAGTGGGTCACATAACGAGTCATGCCTGGTGTCCTGATACTTGTTTCTCTAGTCAGAGAAACAATGGAAGGGGCAGTGAGACAGAATTTGGGCCCAATGCGCATCTAGGAAGTGACCTATCCCAAATGAGGTGGCAACAAGAGTGGGCCTACCTGATGATTATGCAAGAAGTTTATCAATGCCTCACTGTGGGAGGTTCTGGGGCAATGACAAGAGATGAAAATTTCCTGTCCAGGGATAATTGCTATACCTACTTATTCAACTTTAAGTAATTGTCATTTGTGGCAGGATCATTTACCAAGGTATTGATTACTGTTTTTACTCTCTGGCATTGGAGACTCCAAAGAAATCCA